ATCACTTGTGATATATTGTGAAGTGTGTTATTGTGTGATATGGTTGATATTGTTTGTTCTCTTTTATAGTTGAAATTTCAAGGGTAGATATCTCGAAAAAGTGGAAGTGTATTAATGACCATTCAATTCCAAAGATTTGGTGGAATGAGTCTTTATCACCTTTCTGAAAAAGCTGCACATATTTCTCTGTTTAAACTATTTTTTATTTGCCTAATTTTTTGTTTGAATTCTTATCTTGTACCATTTTTATAAAAAGGAATTCAACGGTGGCAATTTTTAGCCTAGTATGAAACATTTGACACATCATCGTCTCTATAAGTATGCTACTATATGTGACAAAATCTCTTTAAGTTTCTCATCAGTGAGACCATCTACTGTGAACATTGAGTCACCCTCTCAAGTTGATTATTTAGCACTGCCTAACTTCTCAAAGTCAGATCGCCTGGTCCAAATAAAAAATCAATAAAAAGGCTAGGGTGTTTATTTTTCATTTAATCTTCACCTGACCCTGTCCCTGGAAGCATGCTTGATGTATGCATCAAGTCTCATGTTTTTCTGAAACATTAAGCTTAACCTAACGGTTTACTTTGATTGCATAGTCATCAACGTAAGAGATACTTGTTAGTTCCTTAAATGACAATGGGGTGTTCATGTCCGTGACTTCCTAGTTTAAGGTAGACATGGTATCATTATGAATTAACAGTGAATCTTTGATTCTAGATTGCAACTTACTCTATGATACGGAAGTTTAAATGAGTTAAACTGTTAATGATTCACGCTGATTTCACCTCAACGTAACTGAAACAATCCGTTCTCTTCATTATCTTCTATACAAAACTTGAAGATTCACTGTGTAAAACCACACAATTATAAAAGTTAGAAAATATGTGTCTACCGGTATATCATTTTCCATGATATATTATATGCACATATCCACTCTTGCCATTTTTCTTCTAATAAAAGAGATTGATGATTCAGCGCATGAAAACCACACGTTGATGAGATCTCACAATACTATGCCAGTAAATGGTAGTTTAAGCCCACACTAGCAGGAGATATCACAGTCTTACTAGACTACAAGTTGAAACTCTATTTTTTCAAAGTTAGTTGTTGATATAAAAAAGGGGGGAGAGAGAATCTTGGTAAAACTAAAAATCTTGCTGAAAAATCTCACTACTAGAACTATAGAAAATAGAGTCAAGATGATGTTAACGTTCTCAGCTCAGCTCAAGCTCATTATCTATTTGCCCGTCGTCTGCTGCAATTCATAAATGATTGATGAGTCATTCATTTTTTTCATGGGGGACATTTGTTAAAACTGCAAGAATCAAGATTACATTATTATTTTTAAGGGGGAGCACAAGTAAAAAGCACTCAACATTCTGCTTATATATCAAAAGAGGATTAGTTTTGTCATCATCGGATAAGGGGATATTGTAAGATCATATTTTATGATATGATGAATCGAACACATGACACGCTGATTCATCAACGTCAGCTTTGACACGTCAACAATGCCAATATATCATGTTTACTAGCATCAACACTTAGTGTATATATATATATATATATATATATATATATATTACTATATATATTGTGTAATATTTGTATATTAGTAAATAATATAGATAAATATAGAATAGATCACAGATCGGGTATCTTTGTGGTAAGATCGGTTCTTAGTATAGATTAGATATAATCTTTTCAATCATGTGATATTCATGTATAGATTAGTATATATACAACATTAGGGCAAACCCTAATGTTGTGGTCGTGGTAGTTTTGTGATTGTGGCCTTGTGCCATTCATCTTTGTGACAAACCCATCTTCTTGGTGATGAAAACTTCTTTTCTTAGTGAAAGAAATAATTTGGAGAACTTGTGTGTCATTTACTTTCTGTTAACTATTTTGCTTAGATTAGTTTTACGTATCTTATTCATAATTGAAGTGTATCCGATCATCATTAACCTTCACCTTCAGATTTCTTTAGGTCCAATTTTACGGGCTTTCATTGATCAGTAGGAGGGCTCTGGTACGTCAGAGGGCCCGATAAATAGAGGCTTTCGGGTCAGGATGTTGTCCGTATAATTTACAATTTTTTGCTAAAACCTATAAAAGTTAAGCTACACTCTTTTTCTTTTAGTGTAACTTATATTTACAATCATAAGTCATTATTATGAACCTATAAATAATATTTATTAGTAGTTCCAAGTAATTATATTGATTGATCTATTACGAGATGATGTCTAGGCTGGATTTACTATGGTGTTTAAAGTGGCATTTGCAAACAGTATACTCTGTATACCAAATGGATCCTACCTTTGATTTTCTCCTACTTATTTGTTCCTTACTTGATAGATCTTGATGTAGAAATTAGGATTAGTAAGGATTCTAGACTATCATTAGTCACCTAAAATATAAGACTAAGACTTAATAATGTGAACCTAGGTCAAGTTAGAGGAAAAAATAAATTACAAAGGTGAAGTTCTGCCCAAATTCCATGGCATCCACTTTTATCAAGTGATTGCATAGTTACTTGTCTTACACATGGATATAAAGTATTTAGATACTTGAATGCTATATGTGCTTATGTGCAAAGATTTTATGTGCTAGATGAAATGTTATAAAGATAAATTTATATGGTTTATACCATATATGT